GGCAAGAAATGTATCCTGATTTGTTGTCAGACTCCCATGGAGCAATGCAGTGGTGGGATTCAAATAATATAACAACCGGTTCTCTGCCCTAATGACCAGCTGGGTAGACGGGGCTCGGTGGTCATGTGACTAGGTGGGTGTGGCCAACTCAACGTCACTCACGTCAATGGGCGCTTCACCTTAGCTGTTACAATGTAATAAGGGTTAAGGGAGAGGCAGTTTCTGTAAGCAGGGCAATAAAGGTTAGGCTAAAAACAACACCAGAATGTTTCCTTCCTGCCTTCCTTATAGGATTAGGCCTGTAAAGTAGAAAAAACAAAAGGAGATTTCTTCCAACAACCGGTTCTTCGAACTGCTTAGAAAGTTAACAACCAGTTCTCCCGAATAGGTGTGAACTGGCTGAATCCCACCACTGGGGCCGAGTAGGGGTAACTTTGTAGGTTGTCTTGAGTCCCAGGCTTGGTTGAAACTTGCTGGGTGATGTAACCATCTCAGGTGTCATGTAGTGAGATGGATAGAGGGCTAATCCTATTATGTCCTGAGAGTGAAGGTCTTTTGTGTTGTGTATAAGCTGGGCCAGCCTTTCTGGGGCTATTAACAAAGGTGGAGGCTATTTTCCAAGGACATTTCTCTTTTTCTCATCCGGGGAGGTGTAATATTCTGCCTTTTTAAAATATTTCTTAGAATATGTCATTCTTCTAGGAGAGGGCTGGGTGCTAACTTTCTACAATGTATTAGACTAGACTTCATTTTTCCCAGTTTCCCGTTTTGTCTTCTTTGCCAATCGACTCTTAAGACTTTCCTGTTTGCTGCAATGTTTTCTTGGGACTTGTAGAATTGCATTACAAGATACCCAGCAGATTGTAGCCAGTAAAATGACTTTCTTCTACTCTTGTCAAGCGCTAATGCAATTTTGTTCTCTTTCCTCTCTGTCTGAATTATAGTATGAATGACACCCTTCTGTGCTTTATTTTTCCAGGGAGTGAATTCTCAGGCAATCCTTACAGCCACCCTCAGTACACAACCTACAATGAGGCTTGGAGGTTCAGCAATCCTGCATTACTAAGTGAGTATTCCCTAAGGTTCTCTCTGCCCTTTGCCATCCCTTTCTGTTGACCTACTTGTTTCTTTGCTTTCTTATTCCTACTTATTTCTATCTTACTGGGGATTCTAAAACTTTTACCACCATCCCAAAAAACTGAAAATGAACTAACTTTGGGCTTAACTCCTGTCACTGAATCCAGTATGCCCCGTTTCATCAAGATGTTTTATCTAAACAAAGTGTTTACATTTACATTTTGCCCATATTTTGTGGGGGGGATGGTGAGAAGATAGTTGCTGTTTGTTCTGATCTAGGCTTCCCCAAAAAGCACGAGGCAGATTCCTGATCCCAACAAAACACCTTTTATTAAATGAATGTGAATTACTCTCATTCACATTCAGCAAAGGCCTGGTAAGCAGTCTTTCAAAGATGAAGTTATGACCACAGGACTTATCTATCTTGGAAAGCTGCCATGTAAATATTTTCCAAATGGAGTACTGTGCAAGGAAAGACTTGGCACAGAGTCTCTGAGATTCATGGACAGATCTTCACACTCCTGAAATGAACTAACAAACAAACAAAGAAATTGTTTCTTGCAAAAGCCCACTCCTTTTCGCTCCTCTTTTATTTCCTATGGGAGGGGCCATTCACTGTCCACCTGTGGCTTTAATCCCAAGTCGACCCTAAATTTTGAGTTGTTCTTTTCTTCTGGCAAGACTGCTGTCTAGCTCTGAAGGCAGCTGAGAACTCCCAGATGGCCTTGGACCCACCTCTAGCTCTGATGCAGAGGCTTGTCCGAGCCTTCCCTAGCTTCCAGGACTGGCCCATGTTCCTCCCCAACCTCCCCACTGTCCAACTCTGCTGCCAGCTCCACTGGTCGTTGGCGGGCCACAACACTGTTTCCTCTAATTTTGAATTAGAACAGGTCATGCTGGAGCTGTCCTCTCCACTTCAGACAAGAGTCTATTCTGAATTCTTCTGAATTTGAGTTTCACACCAAGTTGGATAATATCCCTATAAAGTAATGGATATGGAGGGAAAATAATCCTATTTTCACTGGCATTGATTAAATCTTAGCTGATGTGAAATAAAACTGCTAACATTGTAATACCTTTATATAAAACCATTGAGCATTTGGAATATTTTTCTTTCTAAAAATTACTAAAAAGCTGGAGGGGGGAAACCCACGTAGAGCAAACCATAAACAAAATGTCAAGGAAGCTAGAACAATAGTGTCCTGTAAATGGAAAAATGGCAACATTTGGCCGATTTGTTTAAATACGTACCAAAACAAAAAACAGATACAGTTTTATAGATACATACCATATAGATACAGTTCACTATTTCTAACCTCAAAGTGGCCATCCTAAAGAAATATTTCATCCCAAAGCAATGAGATTCAACTTTATTTCTTCTTGACAGCAATAGCACTTAGACTTATATATGGCTTCACAGTGCTTTACAGCCCTCTCTAAGTGGTTTACAGAGTCAGCCTATTTTCCCCCAACAATCTGGGTCCTCATTTTACTCACCTTGGAAGGATAGAAGGCTGAGTCAACCGTGAGATTCGAACTGCCAAATTGCAGGCAGCCGACAGTCAGCAGAAGTAGCCTGCAGTACTGCACTCTAACCACTGCACCACCTCGACTCTGATTAAACAGAGATCAGGATATCTCAAATCACACTGCATGTAATAACTAGTTCATCAATGCAAAAATGTCACAACTAACTACTGTTTTGTTTATAGTCCATCCTAACCACCCCATCGAATTTTTTTCCCTCCCCCCCCCCCAATACACCCTTCATTCATTTTTTAAGATGTCACAAAACCCATTCTTGTTTTTGCTGCAAGAATCTACAAAGCTACCCTTCTGGGATAT